GAATGCTCATAGCTGTTTCAAGGGAGTTACCATCTGCAAAGAGACTGGGTAAACTCGCCTTTGATGCATTCTTAATTTTTTCATATTCCTTGTTGTATCTTGTTTTGTTTTTTTATTCTGTTTTGAATTATTTTTATGCTCCCCTAGTTGTATTTTCCCTATAGTTGCATCTTGTATTTTCCAAGTCTGTGAAGATTTGACAAAATCCTGCTTAAATTTCAATACTGACAAAAGGCAAAGTGTGACATTTTAATATCCCTGTGAAGCAAAAGGTCTTAAAGAAGAAACCAAAAATCCACATCCCACCCCAATCCAAAAACCATGAGAAAACATACGTTACTTAAACAGAGAGGGAAAAAAAAGGACATATATCCAACAAAAAATACCTGCACGCCTTTCACTTGCATTTGCTGAATAAGTTCTGTAAATACACCTGAGGAGAAAAAACAACAAACTCAAAAACAATGTACCAATCAAAATCTATACCAAACAAGACACTATGCAAGCCCCTCAACCCTAACCACCACTATAAACATATATATATATATATATATATATATATATATATATATATATATATATATATATATATATATATATATATATATATATATATATATATATATATATATATATATATATATATATATATATATATATATATATATATATATATATATATATATATATATATATATATATATATATATTCACGTCAAAGACAAAAACCATTCAATGAGCATACCGGGATCGGACTCAATGGTGCACCAAGACATGATTCCAATTTGTACAAAGCAAGCTGCAAACAAGGAACAATAACTCAGCCTCAGCTATACAAATTTTTTATTAATTTTTAATTTTTTGTTTTGCTCGCCGCCAAACAGATAAACAAGCAAATCTTAACCATAAATAACCTTCTTCTCTCCAGCACCGCAAATATTCCATTCATGAAAACACAAAACGACGCTAAAAATGAATCTATTTCGTAATAAAACGACATGAAAGAGAGAAAGAAAGAAAGAGTACCTCTATCTCTCTCCTTCTGATACCTCCGTGTTAAGGTTTCGCTTCTGCACTGTAATTCCACTCTCTTCTTTTCTCCACCCTTCACTACCAAGGGTTTATATATCACCACATTCAATAACTCTTTTAATTAAAATTAAATTTTAGTTACCTTAAAATATATATTTTATAAATGAAAAATAAATAGAAGAATGATAAAAGATAATGACGAAGAAAAGGAAAAGAATAATACAAATTGCCCAATCCAGTAAGGAGGTTGATAAAGCCCACCCTTACCTCCGTCTCTGGGCCAAACTCGAGCATAAGTACGAATTCTTGGCCCACATGACTTCAGCATGTGATGTATACCTTTTTATTTATTTATTTATTGTATGTAGTGCGTGTTAGTTTTTAAAATCCTTTTTTTATACGTGTTATAAATGAAATTTGAATCTAACCCATTCAAGTATTTAATGAAAAATATAAGAAATTAAAAAATAAAATATAAAAAATTATTTTTTAGAAATTACAATACAATTTTTTGTTTTTGTTTTAATATATAATATTAATTAAAATCAATTATATAGTAATCAATAATAATAATATATTTTTACTAAATTAAAAAAATTTGACCAATAAATTTTATATAACTAAAAAATGGAGCTTGATTCGTATTTTTGTTTTATAGGGAAAAAAAAGGTAAATATTATTTAAGGCCAACAATTACTATTTAGCAGGAAAATTTATGTTTATCTTTAAATGGGTAATGAGATAGATATATTTAATGTTTTATCCTTTTATGTTTTTATCAGACCTTCTTTAAAGAACGTGCTATTCTAACTCCTAAATTGTCTGATGCTGCTATGCTAAACGAGCACCTAATGTCTATGATTCCTGGTGAAGAAAGGACTTTTTTGAGTTCGGATAAAATTCTTAAGCAAGGTGGGACTTCCTCTGTTGAGGATGATGAAATCACCCCTGAGATCTTAAATACATTATCATGCTCAGGGATTCCTGATAATAAATTATCTTGAAAGTTAAAGTTCCAGTAATGCTATTAAGAAATATTGATCAGTCGAGAGGTTTATGCAATGGCACGAGATTGCTTATTATAAAATTAGGGAATCATGTTGTTGAGGCAATTGTACTTACAGGAAGCAATATAGGGAAAACTGTGTTAATCCCTAGAATGACGATGAGCCCATCGAGTCATACATTTCCTGTAAATTTCCAAAGAAGACAATTCCCCCTGATTGTATCGTTTGCCATAACTATCAACAAGAGTCAAGGACAATCACTTTCACATGTTGCAATTTATCTCCCTAAGCCTATCTTCACTCATGGGCAATTATATGTGGCACTGTCTAGAGTAAAGAGTAAGCATGGATTGAAGATATTGATACTTGATGAAAATGGCTGCGTTACGAATAGTACCCTTAATATAGTTTACAAGGAAGTATTTCAAAGACTGCTATAGTATATTAGGTTCTTTCTTCAAAGATATAACTTCGTTGTATGGTACAGGTAAAGACAAAAAAAAATGACTGTTTATTCACATCTCTTTTCCTTATCTATCTTCAAAGATATGACCTTTATTATCATATTTTCTTTCCTATTTTTAATGTAACAATAAATGACTGTTTTGTTATTTAAAAAAATGACTGTTTGGGACCTTTGAAATACTGACAAAATGAGTTCGGCCCAGAAGACCGACCCACCATGCCAAACAAACCAATTTTTTTCCCGTTCATCGGCACGGGTAATTCACTAGTTTAGATAAAATAGAGAAAACAAGATAATGAAAAGCAAAAGAGAGAGTATAGAAATATCGGAGAGAGAGTATAGAAATATCGGGCCAACCAAATTGGACTTTAAAAAACTGATGTTATCTCAAGTAATTAAGATGAAAACCCGTTCAGTAAAATTAAGTGATAATAACCCCCAACGGTAGCTCAGTTGGCAGCTAAGCTCTCAAGGGATTGCTTGGTGCAGGGATCAAATCCTGCCTCAAGCAGTTTCTTGAAAAATCTTTGGGGGCCAAAGGATAAGCCAAAAAATCTTCGGTTGGGGGATTGTCTCGTCCTTTCTCCGGTTGCGAAGCTTAGTGCACCCACTGTTACAATGAGGGACTAGCCCAAACGGACCGTACCTCGAGGGCATGGTGCCCGGAGAAGGTTGAATGAGGATAGCAATGTACAAAAATAAAATAAAAAATTAAGTGATAATAACAAACTACAGCTAATTGCCGTATGTGTGTCCGTGGACTATCAAATTGAATTTTAAAAAAATGACACTGGTCACCTTTAATTGAAAATAATATTTGATTTTTTTATGAGAAAGAGTTTAACTATTATCACTAGTCAAAAAAAGAAAAATATAACAAAATTTATTTATTTTAAAAAGTAAATATTTTTTCATATATAATTTAATATTAATATTAAAAAATATAATTAATAACAACATAAAATTATGTATCTTAATTAAAACTAAATTTAAATATTTTTTTCTCATTCATTTTATTTTCTTTTTTCATTAAATTTAACAATCTTAAATTATTAAAATAACATTTAAAACAAGTCAGTCGATGAAGTTTTTAGATTTTTTACCCTAAACACTAGTGAACCACAAACGTTTGGCGTAATATGATTCCCTTTGACGAAAGGAGATTGAGACAACTGTTGTTTTATTAGAAAATTAATTTGGCATTGAATAGATTTAATTAGTATGTTATGGAACGTATTATATACTTTATATTGTAATTATAATTACTTGAGCCGTTGACAGTTTTCCCACAATCTCATTATTTCATTGGCATTTGTGGACCATAACGAGGCATATTGGAAAGCAGTACTCTGCACAAAAACAAGTCAATAACCAAATGGAGAGAAAAATGAATATGGCCATTATACTTGTCATTGTTAACTACAACATTTATTTTTATTTTTATTTTATAAACAGATGGTTTTTTTTTTTATCAATAAAAAGTTTAGATGAGATTATACATCGTATCTCAATCTCCAACCTCTTTAAAGATTTATAAGAGAGACTACAGATCACCTACCAACAAAATCTTCATATGGATCAATGGAATTAACATCCTTACGAGATATGAACCTAATCTTTAACCAATTGTGTCCATCTTTATTTGCCTTAAAATTTAAAAATGCCAAGTTCAAGAATTCTTGTGTTTGCATGGTTTAGAATCTGGTGAACTTGGCAAGAGATGGTTTGTTTTAAATTGTACTCAATGACCTGAAATTTGGGTACATGCTATGGCGTCCAATAAGAGAAGTGAGTAACACTTCCAATTTAATAAAATTATAACACAAGATATGCATAATAATTCAGACCATGAAATTAGATCATTAAATTAGATTAAAATTATTATTCCAATTTAATAAAACTATTACACAAGATATGCATAATAATTCAGACCATTAAATTAGATTAAAAATATTATTTAGCAAATTTAAAATCAAATCTTAACCGTTTATTTTGTAATATTAGAGATAGAGATAAAAATAAAAATACAGAAATCACATCCCATCATATTAAATTATATTTTATTATATTAGAGATATTTGAATCTGATTTGGATATTATTTCTTACTATGTATATAAATATTTAGATATTTGGATCTACCCTAGATAGAATTAGATTTAAAATCTTCATTCTGAAAACTTTAATTCTGGATCCGCCCGAATAAAATTATCGGATATCTGTAGTTTATTAAAAAAAAATTATTTAGCAGAGGGATGGTAGCATTGGAGTGGACTGAACAACACAAGAGAAGAGGAAAAGAAGAGGTTAAGGTTTGAGTTTATGTAACACAAACATCGGATTTTTTCTTTAAAACAAAAATATGTTTGATTAATAATAATATTTGTTGGGTTGGTTTGTTGGTTTGTGGAAGAGGCAGAGCCCCCCGTGTTGTTCGGTTCCCGCTCCTTTCGTCAACTAATATTATCTCTAATTTATAACTTCTACTTTCTAATCTCTAATCACTGAGATTTAAAGGAAAGGTACTTATCCTTTTTTAATTTTAAACCTTACGAATTTGAATTATGATTACGATCACGACCACCATCACCATTACCACCATCTTCTCCACTCCATTAATTTTCGTTTCCTATATTTCCTATTGTCTATTGCTTATCGATAACCAACTACTACGCCTTTTGTTATTGATTTTGATGCACAAACAACACAGCACACCACGCTCTTCTCTACTTTTGAATGCCACAAATGAAGTCCCCTGTTCGGGTACGTATTTTCCAACTCTTCCTTCATTCTATTATGTTTCTCTATCACTATTCCATTATTACTTCAATTCTTGTTTCCCTTCCCTTCCTTTCCTTTTTTTTTTTTTTTTTTTTAATTTATATCGTTTCGGATTATGCTTTTCTTTTTCCTCGTTTTGCAGGGCCTGCCTTTGTTGTGTTATATAAGGAATTAAGATTTTTTTTTTTTTCATTTTGACAATAAGTTATTAATTAGATATGCTCCAATTGAATCATTTGTTGCACACCTGTGCTATTCTTTAACTTGTTTAAACCTTTATGTTGCAGTTTTGTTCAATTCTATATAATATTGTGTTTTATTTTGTCTAACCTTCTCTTATATTGAAGCAGGCATTTTTGGTTGCTGATTCAAAGAGTAGAAAATCCTGTCTTTATGCCATCTTCCCAGCAGCTTCTTTAATCTTTGTTGTTTTATTTTTCACGAGTTCATTCTTCTCACAAGGCTACAAAGAGGTATATACGTAAACCCTTATCTCAAGATAATAAATAAACCAATGATTTTGACTTTGCTTGAGTAGGATTCATGTTCTTCACATATCTCGCAATGATCCTTTTTGGTCTCATACTGCAGAAACTATCAAGCTGGAGAATTGACATCGATCAGAATGTGGAAATTGAGAAATGCAAGGTTCATTCTCTTACTTTGCAAACCGATAAACCAATGAATAATGAATTTGATTAAGTATGATTCATGTTCTTCCAAATCTTGCAATAATCCTTTTGGTCTCATATGCAGAAACCAGTAAGCTACATCGATCAGAATGTAGAAATTGATAAATGCAAGGTTCGTTCTCTTACTTTGTATGCTTTCATTAACGTACATATTATTTCAGATGTTCAACTTTGGTGCTTATATTTGTTTATCTTGTCTAGTAGAACCACTGCAGGCCTAGTGGAAGTGAGGCATTACCAGCGGGTATAGTCTGCAGTACTGCGAGTTTGGATATGAAACCTTTGTGGGATCCTCCTCACATTAAGAAGGGTCATCACGCAGTAGATGTAAGTTTCGGTCAGTCATGACCATCCAATATTTTGTTTATTATGTGATCTATGAAGAAAAACTTGTTATGGTAATGCTGTAGCTCCAGTGCTCCTTCATGCAAGGAAATCTTGTCAGTTGTGATATGTATTTCTGAATGCTTAGTGTCAAGATAACATGGTTGTCACTTGTCACACTATCCTTCTCACTTTGCATATGTAAATTATAAAACAACTAATCTTTGTGGGCATTTACAATTCTAATATACTCAGGAATTAAAAGTAGTTGGCTTATTGAAATTAGTTTCGAGATTTCTTGTTTAAGTAGGTGAAGATTACACATTGAGCCTTTATAAGTCTTTCACACTTTTTTTTTTAATACCGATCTCAATTACGTTTTTGAGAAGAGTCGGCTCCTACAAGTTTTAACTTTTTGAGTCAGCTATGGAACTAATCCTGAGTCGGGGCTTAGTCATAATTAAATCTATTCACCCCTCTCCAAATATGTATTTGGTGTGAATCAAATCCAGGTTTTCTCTCCATCTACTCAGACTCAGCATATGTTATCAACTGAGTTACACCTATTGGGTTATTTCACACTTTCTACAGTCTATTTGTGGAGGTCTTTTTATTTTTGACGTTATTGATTTAATTGACACTTTGTTGACGTTGAACAAATGTCATCACTTGTGTTCAAATGTCCTAGTTATTATTCTTTGCTTCTGGTATGTACTAACTTGCCTACATTTGAACAGATTAAGGTAAATGCATCAACCAGTTTGTTTGCAATGGCAGTCGGGATAAAGCAGAAAGATCTTGTGAACAAAATGGTCAAAAAGGTTATTGAATGAGTTTTGTAAATATTTCTCATTATTAATACTCTATTTTTGTCCATGGGTCATGACCCTCATCCTACACCAAATTGCAGTTTCTGGCAAGTAATTTCATTGTGATGCTCTTCCACTATGATGGTATTGTGGACGAGTGGAAGGATTTTGAATGGAGTTATCGTGTCATTCATGTGTCGGCAATGGATCAAAGTAAATGGTAAGTGTCTAGGTGATTCACATTCCATTCCGATCCTAAAATAATTTCAGTTGTCCTAAATGTGTTTTGTCCTGTACATGTTTTCAATGACTAGGTGGTTCGCCAAGCGTTTCTTGCATCCAGACATAGTTGCAGAATATGATTATATTTTCCTTTGGGATGAGGACCTAGGAGTCCAAAATTTCCACCCAGATAAGTATGTTGAATAACTTCTTGATTTTTATGAGTTACAATTATATACATCAACATCAACGATTATATAGTTTAATGCACCGGGATTTTAATTGAATAAACTATTAGAATTTTATGTCTATCTTCTCTCATAAGGTTCTTACCATCATATTAATAATGTACATTTAAGAGGAGATAACTTTTGGGGGGATCTCGCAAGGTCAGGCATTGCATTGTGGTGTTGTAACTTTTGGAGAGGGGTGGAACTCCTATATTAGTAAATCTTCTTAAGGGTTAGGTCATTAAGGTTTGATAAAACCACTCCCCGTTAAACCCGACTAGTGAGTGTGGGGTGGAGAAAATCCTTATACGCAGCTTTATCTTTACATAATTGTAAAGAGATTGTTTCCTGGATTCGAAACCATGACCTTTCAGTAACGAAAGAACAGTTTTACCACTTCCGGTTAGCCCTCTTAGGTCATCAAGGTTTGATATTTCTTTTTAAATGATTTTTAGGTATGTTTCTATCATCAAAAGTGAAGGGCTGGAGATATCACAACCAGCACTAGATCCTAAAAAATCAGAAGTGCATCATCAGATTACTGCGCGTGGGAGGAGGTCAAAAGTGCACAGGTTCTAAGTTCAAATCCCCTCAATATGTCGTAATGAACATTCTTATAAAAAACTAGAGAGAGAGAGAGAGAGAGAGAGAGAGAAGACCAGCTTTACTTATGTTTTCAATCTAATTATGTTATTATTAGGTAACTGTAATTTTAAGCAGATGCTTATACTCACGACTATGTTGTGCATGCTTTTGGTCGTTGTGCTTGCAGAAGGACATATAAAGCTAGTAATGATGGTAAAGGCTGTGATCAAAGCAGCACCGCTCCTCCTTGCACCGGGTAAACATATTTTTGTGGTAACAACAAATTTTAATGTGGCTTTCCTTTTATTTTAAGCACTTGAAGAAAGATGAACTCATTTGTTTCAGGTGGATAGAAATGATGGCTCCTGTTTTCTCAAGAGCTGCATGGCGTTGTGTTTGGTATATGATTCAGGTGCACCACTCTGTTCTATTAATTCTGCTGCGGAGCATTCCCGTGAGCATTGCTCTATATAAGTTACATATTTATACCATGTGTGGTTTTTTTAACAGAATGACTTGATCCATGCATGGGGTCTAGATATGCAGCTTGGCTACTGTGCTCAGGCAAGTCAAGCTCAACAACTTTTGGTTCAATTTCATGATTTCCTACTTTTGCACATTTAAATGTTCCTATGATGGCATTTGGTTACCTTCTCTCTCTTTTTTCTTTCTAGTTCCATCTGACCTTATTTCTGGTGGATAGGGTGATCGAACACAAAATGTTGGGGTTGTGGATGCTGAATACATTGTTCACTATAATCGTCCCACACTTGGAGGCATAGATAAGACTACGGTGAGAAATGTAAATTCTTTATCAGAGAGTTTAACTATGCAGAAATGCTTGTCTTTTAAGTTTTCTAAGATAATAATTTCATTGGATGCTTCTTATCTTGAATGTATGTCTCTCCTTCTATCTGCCTAGAAACTGAAACTTATCTGTGACTTGCAGGTTTCATCTGAGGAAAAGGATCATAGAGTTGATGTAAGTTACTATGATGTCACGATTTGTCAATTGAAGTCACTGTCTGAATGTACCTCTTTTAAAAGCATGTTTCATTTTGCTGTTCTAAAAAAATTCATCCAGTCCGATTCAGAATCATCTCTTTCAATAACTTTCGCTTCTGGATGGTCTAATGCTTAGGTTTTATTTGTTTTATAGAAAAGAAAAACAAATATTTTTCTTGACCTTGTGGTGTTTGGTTCCAAATTTCCAATTAGTCACGCAAAATGCAAATCCCTTAAGAGTTGGAAAACAACTGGGTTAAATATATTACACTCAAACCTTCTATGTTTCATAATATGGACACTTGTAAGCTGTCACCTTCAATGACAATGACTAATTGCTTTGCCAATTAGCTCTAGATGATCAATGAACTCATGTTTGAAAAAAAATTCTGCCAAAACAATTAGTGTCTTGCCGTGGATTTTTTTGTTGTTGTTGTTGTTGCCTTTATCTTAATTATATCTGAATGATTTTGTTTTTGTTGGTACTAACATATCATTTTGGTGACGGTGCAGGTGAGGAGACTTTCTTACCGGGAATTAGATATTTTTAGAAAACGTTGGGAAAAGGCAGTTGCCAAGGATGAATGTTGGGTAGATCCTTTTCAATAGCCGCCATCTCAGGAATTGGATTGATAGTCAAAGTTTTATGTAAATTTAAATTTGTATATAATATGATTTATTTATTTTTTGTTAAACAAAAAAAAAATAAACATCATTTATATAAAGAGAAGCAAACGCAACTGGCAGCTACAGCAAGTGCTGATTATGGGTGAGACAGAGAAAGCTTAGAGGATCTCAAAATCCTAACATGACTCCTGGCATAAATTTTTATCTTGAATAAGCTGGGTGCATAAAGTGGAATTTTTATTTCCTTTTATTCAACCAGCTTGTTAGAAACTTATGGGTAGATATGATCAGAGAGTTGTTAGAAACTTACAAGTCAGACTCTTTACGTTGTTTTACTTGACAAAACATCTTACAGTCATTTTTTATTTATTTGAGAAAGTCAATTGATGTCAAATTGATTTTGAAATTGGAAAAGTAATGTATATATCTATTGATCTCATTACCTTATTGTTTACTTATTTTATTTGTTTTGGATGACTATTTGATTCCACATTTTTCTTCCGTAACCAATAATATTGAGGTTCCTTCCTAGAACATTTTGCTTTCCAAGAAAGCTAACAAAACATGCTTTGTCATTCTTTACTTGAGGATCATATCACAAAAGATTTTATATGACCTCTCTAGTAGTTGGAATAGCAATTCAAAAGATTTTTTTTTAGTGTGTAAAGAATCTTGGGATACACCACCTCAAAAGCTAGCTCAAAGGATGGGAGTGTCCAAGGACTTATAAACTCCACATTAGTTGCACATACAACCAATGTGGGACTATATATCTCAACACGTCCCCTCACACAAGAGCCCATTGGGCTTGAAGAGTGGACAATGCAACAGACCCAGTCTACCTGTACTAAGAAACGCCACAAGAGAAAGTGGGGGACGGCGAGGCTCTTATACCATGTAAAGAACCTTGGGATACACCACCTCAAAAGTTAGCTCAAAGGGTGGGAGTGCTCGAGGCCTTATAAACTCCACATTAGTTGCACATACAACTAATGTGGGATTATATATCTCAACATAGTGACCTGCTATACCGACACTTCAAAACCTTGACGTGTCGTGTTCGACACTCTCCGATACTCCGACACTCCCCGACACTTCAACACTCGTTATAGAAATTCAAAAAAAGTTCAAAGGTTGCATTACGTTAAGTTTTTAGTTTCAACTACTAGATTCGTTGGATTACGATTACCATTTTATTGAGTTTAATATAAATATTTGGGATATCTTATGTTTCTTTGCAAAATTGATAAATATTATAAGTTTAGTTTCATTTTTTTGTTAAATTATTGAATATTAATATAATATACACTCCATAAATTAAAAATATTATTTAATATCAAAACATGTCCTAACGTGTCAAAATCTAACATTTTTTAGAATTAACGTGTTGAAGTGTCGTGTCGTATTGTGTCACGTGTTCCGTGTCGATATTGGTACTACATAAGTGACCTGATCAAGTGAAAAATAAATAAATAAAATAAATAATCTGAGGATAAGGAGGACTGCCGAAAGAAAAGAAAATCAGAAATATTGTCGAGTGTACGGTGTACCCTTGTCCCAAAGTTGTTCCATTAAACAAAAATATTTTAAGACAAGGTCAAGTATTTAGATATCTTGTATGAAATATTCTCTGGTTACCATCCACGAAAAAGAAAATCTCTGGTTTCTATATTGGTCTGACATTATTCTTAAATGCTTTTTGTTAATGAAAACTGATCAATAATCAAATGTGTGGATGATGTAGTTTAGCGTTGGATAAAAACTACTTTATCAGCATTTATGAATATTTTAAGTTATATCAATAAAAAGGAAATAGGTCATTCTTACGGAAGCGAATTCGTGATCGAAGGCTTCTATGAATAGTAATGTCCTTGCATTATTATCTTTTAGTGCCCATTTTTCTTCAATTCAATCTTTTTCTCTCATTTATTTGTGGCCACATATCAATTGTGGTGACACACCGAAATTCTTTCGTATTAAATAGCACTACTAAAAAAACTACCAGTCAACTAAATTTCATTATTAGATAATCGTAAGTTAACTTTACAGGTCAGTTGTGCATGACCACTGTTATCAAACACGGACCTAGGTTTAATTTTGGGTCACAGCACGCAAGACTAAGGGTCTATTTGGATGGATTTTTTTTTTTTCAAAAATTATTTTTTTCCAAAAAAAAAAACACTTCTTACTTTAAATTCGTTTGGATGTCTGCTTTTAAAAAAAGTATAAGTGTCAAAGAAAGTCAAAAATTTACTTTTTTCAGAAGCTACAAATTTTAATTTCTAAAAAAATTAGAAGTCAAAAGTCAAATATTTTTTTCAAAAACTAAATATTTTTATAAAAAAATCTTCGTTCCTTTTCTTCTTCATTTTTTGCAAGTAAAGGGATACTTAATAAAATTAAAGGATTATTTCGTTCCTGATAGTTATTTATTTAATCAGCGGATAGGAGCATACTCTGGATCGGAATTGTAGGGAGTACTGCCTCATTTTTTCTACCGACTTAAAGCCCCGATTAGTATTCTTTTTCTATTATGTGTAAATGTTCTTTTGCATTATTTACAAAATCTGCGTTACTAATCCTTTGTGTATCTTGGTGTTTCTAACCATCCACTTTTTTTTGATTCACCCCCTTATTTATGTTAATACACGTATGCTACTTAATACAAACGGTAGCGAAAACTCAATAAGGTTGCTCTTTTGACCCCGCTTCAAGACAGGATAACTAATCACCAAATCTTGGGATAAACGGATTCTTACGCTTATATATAGAGATATTTCACTTCATTCTTATACATAAAAAATGAGATTCAATATTTTTACTGCAATTTCAAATCAGCATACTATCTATTAACTACGGTACTCAATAATACCACGGTACTAAATAATACCATAGCAATAAGGAATAAAGTATTTGTAAATTCTACTCAATAAAAGCCGTTTTATTTCACTCATATAACTATCTGATTTATTTCTTCAACCCGAATTCCGAATAAAAATAATGAAAATTCATATATCTATTCTCGATTTATTCAACCCCTTTGCTATTTTGCTATAAAGTAAAGTACTAAAAAGCGAGGAGTATGGCAATAGTATCAAAAAGTTTATGTATCAACGAATCGCACGTAGAGATATTGATAACACACATAGAGTTAATGGTATTTCATAACTAATTGATTGAGCAGCAGCTCGCAGACCCCCCAAAAAGGAATATTTATTATTTGACCCATATCCTGACATAAGAAGTCCAATGGGAGCAATACTCGAAATAGCAATCCATAAAAAAACACCTATATTGAGATCAGATACAATAAAATTATACCCCCAAGGAATTACTGAATAACTTATTAGAATTGATATGACTGATATGGACGGTCCAATACTAAATAAACGAATATCCCCTCTTGATGGAATGATATTCTCTTTGAAAAGCAGTTTTGTTCCGTCTGCTAGAGCTTGAAGAACTCCAAAAGGGCCGGCGTATTCAGGTCCAATACGCTGTTGTATACCTGCAGATATTTCTCTTTCTAACCATACAATTGCTAGTACACTTATTGTGATTCCCAATACAAGAAGAAAAATGGGGGCAAATACCCACAGAATTCCACAGACCTCCTTTAAATACGCCACTCTGGAAAAAGAATCGATATCTTGTATTTCTGATGTATCAATTATCATTTCAACGATCAACTTCTCCCATAATGATATCTATGCTACCTAGTATTGTCATAATATCAGCCAATTTCATTCTTTTAACTAATTGCGGAAGAATTTGCAAATTGATAAAACCTGGTGGGCGAATTTTCCATCTCCAAGGAAAACCATTCTGATCCCCTATTAGAAAAATTCCCAATTCCCCCTTCGGGGACTCAACTCTTACATAAAGTTCTTGTTTTGACAATTCAAAAGTAGGAGACGGTTTTTTACTAATGAATCGATATTCAAAATCATTCCATTCTGATTTCCTTTCTCTATCAAAGCATCGGATTTCTAAATTTTCATATGGCCCGCCAGGAATTCCTTCCAAAGCCTGTTGAATCATTTTTATGGATTCCATCATTTCACCAATTCGAACTAAATAACGAGCTAATGAATCTCCTTCTTTTTGCCATTGAACTTCCCAATCAAATTCCTCGTAACACTCATAATTATCAACTTTACGAAGATCCCAGTGTATTCCGGAAGACCGAAGCATCGGTCCTGATAAACCCCAATTTATTACCTCATCTCCGGTAATAATGCCTACCCCTTCAACCCGTTCTAGAAAGATAGGATTTCGTGAAATAAGTTTTTGATATTCAACAATACCTGTTAAAAAATAATCACAGAAATCAAAACATTTATCTATCCAACCATGAGGTAGATCCGCTGCCACCCCTCCGATACGAAAAAAATTATGCATCATTCTCATACCTGTGGCAGCTTCGAATAGATCATATATTAACTCCCTTTCTCTGAAAATATAGAAGAAAGGGGTTTGTGCACCAATATCCGCCATAAAGGGTCCCAACCATAGTAGATGAGAAGCTATACGACTCAACTCCAACAGAATTACTCGGATATAGCTGGCTCTTTTAGGTACTTGAATATTTCCCAACTGTTCCGGTCCGTTTACAGTTATTGCTTCTGTGAACATAGTTGCTAAATAATCCCAACGTGTTACATAAGGCAGATATTGTATAATTGTTCGGTTTTCCGCAATTTTTTCCATCCCTCTGTGTAAATAACCCAATATTGGTTCACAATCAATAACATCCTCACCATCCAGAGTAACAATAAGTCTAAGAACACCATGCATTGATGGGTGATGAGGTCCCATATTGACTATCATGAGGTCTTTTCTTGTAGTTGGGACATTCATAGGTTTTTCCTCGATTCATTCTTACAGGAATCGCTAAAAATAAAAATTCATCAAAATTCAAGATCTACAAGATCTAATAAATCGAATAATTCAAAATGATTTTTCAAATTCAAATTAATTAATTTTGGATTCCCGAATATTTAACTGAGTTATTAATTTTTTATAACGTATTCCATTTTTCTTTGACAAATAAGACAGTAATCGTTGTCGTTTTCCCAGAATTTGACGTAAACCTCTTTGAGATAAATAGTCTTTTTTGTGCAATTCAAAATGTGAAGTAAGTTTCCGTATCCTATTTGTGAAATGAAATACTTGAAATTCAACCGATCCCGGGTCTTCTTCTCTTTTTTTTTTGAAGTTAGCGGTATAAACGAGTTTTGTATCATATAAGGCCCGTCTTTTTTATAGATATTTTTATTGATCAGTAAGGGTAATGACACTAATTTTGAATTTTGTATCAAAAAGAATATTCATTTAATAATCCATTTTTTCAAAAAAAAATGGATTATTAAATTTGATTATGAATCAATTTAAATAGATATAAAAATTATCAAATAGATATAAAAATTATATTTATATAGATTCATAAAATCAAAAATTAGATGCTAAAAAAAAAGACGATTTTGTTAATTCATTTTTGATCGAATGGATCTAGTATTGAATTAGGATCAATGCTTGAGAATAGAAATAATGCGCGCGCATTTATGTAGGTATCCATTTTGTTCATATATCATAATCATATATGTTATATATGTTACGGTAAATAACAGAAAATGTAATAGATTTCCGAATTTTAAATCGCGGATACATACATATCTTTACTATACTGAAACGACTTCCATTATGCGTATCAAACCAATAGCGATTTATACAAGCTAAATCTTCTAATCGAGAATTTGGCCAAAGAAACAATTTTAAATTCATTAGTTTTTTTTTATATCTATCAAGATCTTTATTTTTAATCAAAACTTGACAGAAATTGTTGACTTTATTCTCGTTGTAAAATATTATGTTTCTATGTGTATTATTTAGATTCCTAGTATTGAAACAAATTAGAATTCTAAATTCTCTACGACGCCTGGTGGATAAAATATTTTCAGGTCATGAATTTGGTCCTTACTCTTATTAATTAAGGAAAAGCCTGTGGTTTGATACATAAAAAATTGTTCGTTGTTTTTTCTAGACAGACGCACTGGTTCGATAATCAATATTCTCTTTTTCATCAAGTCTTTAGTTTTCTTTTCCTCAGTCAAATCACCCTAAAATCGAATTCCTGTGTGTCGTCTCTCTCTTGATGGGGAAGAGAAACTAGGGTTGTTAATTTGACGTATTGGGGACCATAACCCTTATATAGTGTTTTTATCTTTATTGTTGGGCCAATAAGCTCCCATTATACCTAGTTGGCCCAACACCGGTATCCACTCATTCAGCCCATACTCACTTAGGAATCTATTTGGGAATATTTAACTGATCATTTTAATTTACCCAATATATATAAATAGCACAATATAATTATTAATATAATATGTGACCCACAATAATTATTAGAAAATATAATTTTCTAACAATCTCCCACTTGGGCCACATATTAACTTGAGATAATTATATCATATATCTTTAGTGCGTTGTATGCTATTTTTCTTTAGATTCCTCCTTAGATACAATCTGGTCCACCTCCTATATCAATATGAGATCATGGCGGCTTTTGTCATTTTCAAGCGTAACTAAACCTTCCATGGTCATCGTACCAATATATTCAATGACATAGATCAAGTATGGATGAGTGGCATGGAAATTACATGCAATGTGATCTTATCATGCCTATTTCCAACTGGTCCTACTTTAATCTTTATGAGATCAATCCTAAATTTTCTGTATACACAAAGCAGAAACACAAGCACAAAATTTAATACATTTAGAGGGAAAATAACATTGAATTCTTTATTCTGCAGAAAACAAACATAAAAATATTTCATTTATTTATTTACATAGAACACCAACATAAAGAACTCCCACTAAACCGTAGTGTCATCGAAGGCTTCCTACTATAAATGCTATATCAGGGCGAGTACAAACCTGGGCATACATAAGGCTTCCTACTGCCGAAGCATAAGGTACCTTTGGCATTTCTATCATCTCAAGCTTACCTTTAGGGCATTGGGCAAGACTAAACTTGTCTCCCCTAGATATGAGCGTATTTCCTAACGTACAATCCTTCATGCCAAATCTATCCAAAATCTTTTCAATGTAGGCCTTTTGTGATAACCGTAGGATACCTTGAGCGCGACCTCGAAGTATCTGTATTCCTAAGACAAAAGATGCATCACCAAGGTCCTTCATCTCAAAATCTTTAGTGAGAAGTTTCTTGGTTTCATGCAATAAGCCTATATCGCTACTGGCAAGTAAGATATCATCAACATATAGTATCAGGAATATGAATTTACTCCCACTGAACTTGTGATACACACAATCTTCCACTAAGTTCACCTCAAAGCCATAGGAGATAATAACCTGATGGAATTTGTGGTACCATTGACGAGAAGCTTGCTTAAGGCCATAGATGGACTTTTTCAATTTGCAAACCATAGACTTTGAATCTCCCAATACAAAATTTTCTGGTTGCACCATATAAATTGTCTCATCAATGTTGCCATTGAGAAACGCTGTCTTTACGTCCATCTGATGTAGCTCCAAATCCAAATGAGCCACAAGCGCCATTATTGTCCTAAAGGAGTCCTTCGTAGAAATCGGAGAGAAAGTCTCTTTATAGTCTATGCCTTCTTTCTGAGTGAAACCTCTAACAACTAGACGTGCCTTATATCTTTCGATGTTGCCATTTGAATCCCTTTTGGTTTTAAATATCCATTTACAACCAATGGGATTCGCACCTTTAGGCAACTCAATAAGATCCCAAACGTCGTTGTCTTTCATAGATTGCATCTCATCTTTCATGGCATCAATCCATTTATGAGCATTAGAGCTTTCTAAGACTTGTTGGAAGTTGATTGGATCATCTTCCTTCAAGCTTAAAATATTTTCATGCTCTTGAAGAAACACAATATAATCATCCGGAATTGCATTTCTCCTTTCCCTAGTGGATCTCCTTAATGGCACTTCTTGAGTTTGTTGAGTTTGTTCTATAGGTGGCATAGGGGGTGATTCATTATTGTCTTGACCCAAAACAATGTCAGGGACCAAAGCCTGTTCCATAACAATGTCATGAACTGGGACCTGATCATTAATTGCTTGTTCCATAACTGCATCTTGAATGATGACAATATTAGGAAGAGAAATATTATTTTCTTCCTCATCAAAGACAACATTCCTTATTTTATCTTCCCCCAAACTCAACATCCTCAAGGAATCTGGCATTTCCCGTCTCCAAAAAGGATCTTGTAGTGGGATTATAAAACTTAAAGCCCCGAGAGCGTTCAGCATATCCAACAAAATAGCAGCTGATTGTTCTTGAGTCCAACTTTCTTTCATTTGGCATATAAGGCCTTGCTTCTGCTGGACAACCCCAAATGTGTAAATGCCTTATGCTAGGTTTCTTTCCATTCCATAGCTCATAAGGGGTTTTTGTCACTGCTTTGCTGGGAACCCTATTAAGGATATAAACTGCAGTCTTTAGTGCTTCTCCCCAAAGTGATTGGCAATGAAGAATGACTAAGCATACTCCTCACCATGTCTTTAAGAGTCCGGTTTCGCCTTTTCGCAACACCATTCATGCTAGGTTTACCTGACATTGTGTATTGCGGGACGATTCCACACTCCTTTAGGAAGATCGCAAAGGGCCCTGACGTTGTTCACCTGATCCATCATATCTACCATAGTATTCACCACCACAATCAGATCTAATGGCCTTAATTTTCTTGCCTAACTGAAGTTCAACTTCAGCTTTAAATTCTTTGAACACATCCAATGATTGTGACTTCTCTCTAATCAAATATAGGTATCCAA